GGTGTGGGTGTGTGGGTGTGGGTGTTACTATTAATAGATCAACACCCGCACCCACACCCACACCCACACCTGCACCCACACCCACACCCACACCCACACCCGCACCCACACCCACACCCACACCCACACCCACAGTTCACACCCACACCCACACCCCACCCACACCCACATTGTTGGATTGATTTTTGATGTACCTTTATGAATTCAAACTTGTCAATGTGATAAAGGTACCGAGATAGGCAACGACAAAAAAACACTCTTGTTGAGATGCAAATGTATTAAAAGCAAGAAAAGCAAGTTAGGACGACAATAATAAAATTCCATTAAAATATTTTGATTTCTTTGCCTTGTTTGTTATCAACGTAGCAGTTTTTGTTGATTTTTCGTGCTTCTCTTAGTGATATTTCAAGACTTAATCACCATGAGACAAAAAATTCAATAAACATTACGACTATTTTTTTCGTTCTTTGTTACTATTCCATTAAGAGAATAAGATTTGTATCTTCAATGTCTCTCTCTTTTCAATTCTAAGAAAAAAACAATACAAATGACAATTTTCATTATTTATTGCAGTTTAGGCGGATAATATTCATCTTTTTCAAGGAAAGTTTGCTTTCCTATTATGTTTTTTTATCGATATGAATTTATGTGTTGTTGAAAATATTTAAAGTAAATAAAATTTCTTTTTCATTTAGAGATATTTCAAATAAATATATAATATGAATTAAAATTAACTGTAACATAGTTAAAAGTGATTTTATTTTCATTCTATTAAAAGATTTGCAATTAATAGGTCTTGGTCTCTATCAGCAATGGAAACAAACGCCAGTCTTATTCACAATAAGCATTTGAAACATGGTTAGAAATGTATATGATAAGCACTATTAAAATCCTTTCTCAACGATAATCAGTTTTATCCAAGAATAAAGCTTTATGCTTACGTTTTCTATTCTAAGAAAATTTTTTGTGTAGCACCTACTTTTTATAACCATGGAACCTGGATATTATTAACGTCAGATATGATATGAAATGTTTTCAAACGTAAAAATATTACAAAAGCTTTCTTGTGTAGACTTAAATGATAAGGAAAATACACGTTGATAGATTTCACTAACTACAGTAAAAAATGAAAGGTAATTTCTCACGAGTTGTCTAATATTTAAGATTAAATAAAATTGATGTTCTATCCAAGTATATTCTTAGTGTTTCGCTGTGACTTACTATTACCTAGTCATCTATAAAGAAATACCTGAATAAATAAAAACTATTGTTTTCAACTAGATATTCCACTTTGCCTGTGCTTTTCTAGTAACTACAACAGTAACATTACGTTAGTTACCTAAATAAAAACTAAAAGCAACGTGCCATTCTTAAATTCAACATAACACCACCAATCATCGACAACAAAATTTCTTCAAAATTCATATCTTCTCAATGTACACAAACTATGTAGTTCGATTTAACCATAAAATGTTATCAATCGTTCCTCTACCAAAGTTTATTTTGATCAACAATGAGGGTGTGGGTGTGGGTATAGATAAAGAAAAAGAACACACCCACA